GCCGTGAAAGACCACCAGAGCTCTGTAAGACACTTTTGTAAAAAACAACAAAAACTTTGCTAAGTGGTGTTCGACTCTAGACTTCGACACGGGGAGGCATGGAGAACAAATTCAAGTCTTTTGCTAATAAACGGTTCGACAGACTTCTCAAACACAAGCTACAGCGCCACTGGTCCATTCCCAGGAGGCTTTGCTGCAGTAATTGAAAATCCAGCTCCTGGCCTGATCTTCCTGTCCCCTACAGTACACACACTCACTCACACACTTATTCAGTAATGTGTAATTTCTTTGTGTGACAAAGCTCCCACTCCCTGACGGCCCGACTGACAGATGTGACACTTCTGTCTTCCAGCCAGCTCTCATCCGTCTCTCAGGAGATGTGAGCGGTTACCAGACTGTCTCTCAAGCAGCAAGTTCCTCATCAAGAACTCATTTGTGAATCGCTCCTGCTGCCTAAACCTGCTAAATGTTTAAGAAAATGTAGGGATTTGGAACAGATCGGTGCATAATTACCATGAACCCCAACCAGTGCTGCTTTATGATTAAACCGGTAAGTTAATTACACAAATAAAGGTTCTTCTGAGGTTTTCTTCTGTTGCTTAATCTAGTACACAAAAAGCAGGGTGTTACTTTCAACAACAGTAAACTCGTCCACTTGACATCACATCAAAAAATATTTGGCAACCCTATTCTTTGAAGTTTTTTATCACTCAGAATTTCTTTATGCAGTCCTCCTGCTGAACCTTAAACATCATCCGTCTCCTTGAATGTGAGGATTTCTTTCACCTAGTTGTGGATCGAGCTGAAGCTCTGAGCTTTGGGTTCCACCACTCGCAATACTTCGTCACTTTAGTCACTTTACTTTAGTCAAACGCTAGTAAAACAATTGTCTGCTGGTAAAATGGTTCATAAAAAAGGTAGATTTTTCTGTGTAAACTACTGATTTGAAACTATAAATTCAGTATTAAATGCAGCCGGTGGTGTCTGTGAGATGCCGATGACTCAACGTGATCTTCGTAAGAATCTGGTCAATTTGCAAAATTTATTGAGCAATCTTACATATTTTTTATTACCTTAAATAAGATATATAGTACATTTTATTTTAAGTTATAATAATTCAACGTTTTATATCAAACATGTTTATGAAGTTCAGTTCACTAAATCCATCTCACTTAGAGAGATTTCAGCAGTTTTTATTCGTGACAAATTCAATACCTTCCAGAATGAGTCATTTCAGGGCTCTGTCACTTTAAGAAAACAAGTTTGAGATGGCCACGCCCACCAATCCACTGGTCAGACTGCTATAAGCCTAGAAGCTCTGATATCTGTGAGGGGCTCAGAGTAGAGCCCTGCACTGGAGCCCTCGGCCCAGGGGTCGGCCCGGCCCGACGGCCCGAGGGCCGGGCTTCGGGCCAACGACTGTGTAATTACCTCGGACACGGGCCGGGCGTCTTTATTTTTAATCGAATTCATTAAAAAAATGAAACACAAACGCAGCAGCACCTGCCTGCTTCTCACACACCGTTAGCTCAGTTAAGGTGTGTGTGGTTTATAAATGCGCCGATATAAACGAATTCTCAAACTGCTGATTGAAACATGTGCCCCTGTTCTAATATGCCATTTTATGTCCACTTTAATAGGTCGGAAACCATTCGTTTATTCTCATGAAAATGGCAGCGTTCCATTTTTCTGTGAATAGATTCGCTCTGCAGTTGAAAAAATACAGCAGTCATTGCTGGGTTTTTTCTAACTGGACGCATTTTCAGAGCGGCTGATTAAATTTACAAACGCGATATTAATTGGGGGCGTTTATTTAATCTGCCGCTCTGAAAATTCGCTCTGCAGTTAGAAAATTAGAATGCTGCTTTTTTCCTAACTGCACAAGAGCGCGTTTTCAGAGCAGATTAAATTTACAAACGCATCCAATTAATACGGCGTTCGTAAATTTCATCTGCCGCTCAAAAATACGCTCTGTTAGAAAAAGAAGCTGCATTGATGCAGTTTTTCTTTCTTTTTTTATTTTTACTTTTTACTGCAGAACGCTTCTCACAGATAATCAGAATGCTGAGCATCCTATCACGCTAAAACATCATGAAAGGTTAAAAAAATAAAGTCGGGCTCGGGTCGGGCCGGAGAATCCTGAAAACCTTTTCGGACCGGGTCGGGCTGGGGCTCCACCCCCTCGGGCCGGGCCGGACACGGGCTAAGATTTTAGGCCCCTGCAGGGCTCTAGCTCAGAGTAGAGCTGCTGCTGAAGAAGCAGATGATTGGGGGATATGCTGATTTGTCCATTTGTGACATCACAAATGAGGACTTTTTGAAATGGCTTGTTTTTTGCACATTAATCCTAAAAATAACAGTGGCTGAAAATGGATGGACTGATTTTTATTCACATTTGGAAGGTTTGTAGAGGCTGTAGAGACTCATATGGTAACACAGAAGGATGCTAAATGTGTTTTACATAAAGTGTCCACTTTAAAAAAAAGAATTCCTTAAAAAAATGTAAAGTCCAACATAACAAGTCTTTAAAAAACGCATTAATCACACCACAGCAGGCCTTTTCTTCATCACTGAACAGCAGGAAGTATGATGATGTCATGGTCTGCGTCTGCCCCTTCCTTCATGTGCCTCCTGGTGTTTCTCCATCCTCTCTAGGTGCTCTTTTGTGCCTTCTAGCGCCCTCATGTGTCATGTCTGCATCTTCCTCGTGTGTCTCCTGGTGTTCCCCATTTGCCCTTTAGGTTTCCCCCCTCAGACATCCCTTTCCCAGGTCCTGTGCTCTCTTGGCCCCCTCTTAGCCACGCCCCTGTTGTTTCTTTCTATAGTGTTTTCCTTTAGTGTCAGCTTCCCCTTATATTAGTCATGGTTCATGCTTTCTGGTCTTTTGTTTTCTCTTAGGTCATTTTCCTTTGTTACAGCCTTTCAGTATTTAGTGTGTTTTTCCCACCAGTGTTTTCTTCCTCCTCCCTGATTTAGTAATTGTGTTCACCTGGTCCCTCTCCCCACACACCTGCAGTTAGCTCCCTCTCATCTCTATTTAAGCCCTGTCTTGTCTCTGTGTTGTTGTCGGTCCATTGTATGTGTGTCGGCGTTGTTTCGTGCTCTAGTTGAGCTCATGTCTCCAGGTTTCGGTGCTGTCAGTGAGCTTTTGTTTTTGTTACCAGGGTTTTTGGATTTTTGGACTTTTGGCTCACTGCCTTTGGATTTATTTTTGTTCGTCCTGCAAAATAAAACATATTTAATTTACATCATCTCCAGCCTCGTGTCATCCTGGGTTTCTGCATATTTTGGTCCTAAACATCCTCAAAATGTGACAGATGATTCTGGAACCAGCATTTTGTTTTGACAAACACACTACGTAATTTTCTTAAAAGGCAAATTAAAAATGACACAAGCAGAAAATGAATCACCAGCCGGTTTTGTCAGGTTTATCTTTCCCTTTTCTTTTTTTCTATCAAAGCTTGAAAACCCTTCGTCACGCTGTTGATGACGACAGCAATGTCTACTTGCCTTCAGGACTTTTCCTTGAAAGCCTTTCTCTTTCACAACCTGTGAGACTCCTCTCACATAGGATCACTAATGATCCCCAACAACCGACAAAGCCTGCAATACCAGCTTCTGCCAGCCAGCTTCTCCAGTCAAACCACCACCAGAAGTTTGAGCTGTTAAGCCCAAATGGCTCTTAGTCGTGTGACAGCATGCCGGCTGCAGGCACGGGGGTATTTGATTAATTAAAGCCCTAATAAAGCGTTGCATGTGAATCACACTTAGAGCTAACGGTAAACCAAAATAAGAGGGTGAGAAGGAAACAAAAGTCCCTCATTCCTAACAGCCAGCGTCTCCAAGAGTTAATATAAATAACAGAAACGTGCAAACGACATCTCTTTATGCGTCCATCTGCAGCGGCTCCTTAAACCAGATGTCATGTCTGACATCAAAACCCGGAGTGATGCAATGCTAAAAATAATGAGCATGACAGGAGGCAAATGTCACTTTTGACACTGAGATGTCTATTTTTTTCTTTTATCACACACTCATTGTGGACGAGGAAGCAAATAAATGCACATTGTAATAGTAGATGTGTGTGTTTTGTCATCGGAACCCACTGTTGTGTCGTGGCGGCTCAGACTCTGAGCACCTTCTGGGAGTTAGTCATTTATATTTAGTCCCTTCTCTTGGAATAACATCAGCAGCGATTCGAACTGGTTTTTCTCTGGGATTCTTCTGATGAGCGTGTGCAGCTTTATTGCAGATGCTCATCAGCACCGCCACCTGCAGAGAACATGTCTAAAAAAAGCTTTTGTATTTCAGTCAAATCCCTTTTGGGGACTTCAGCACACAGGGGTTTGTGGAGGTTTGCAGTTACAACTGACAGAAAATCCCTCAGTGAATTGTGTTGCAACAAAATATGTGTTTTTTAGAGTAAAGTGGATGAGAAGGACACAGAGTTCCTGTGTTTGTTTATTTGGGACTGTGGGACTTTGGTGTTTTCGAGAATGCGAGGTAATAACGTGCAGATGTTGCAGGTTAGCTGTACAAAAGGCTTTATTGTTTAATACAAATATTGCTTAAAATGATGCATTTTAATCTCTTAATGCATTTTTCTTGATGCTGGGTTTAAAAACTGATGTTTATTTATTAACATGTATTTATTGATGCATGTTGTATTAAGAGCATGTAAATTGTTAAATGAACATCTGGACTTCTGGAAGATTTTTGACTCCAGGCCCAGCTGTGATTAGAAATCAGGCTTCCGTGAACCCAATTCTCACACCTTATAGAATCTGGTTGTTGTGGCTTTATCTCTAAAGCAGCAGGTCATGACAAATATTATTTATTTATTTATTTTATTTTTATTTATTTATTTATTTTTTGTCAGATTTCAGACTAACATGTGTTTTAACCTGTTACACCTTCATAAAATCAGCAGACGATTTAAACATTATTGACTCGGAAAATAGATTATTGGGTAAAATGTGCTCAACGGGTTGAGATAATGTAGCAGTACGAAATACCTGCTCCAAGTTTATTGGTTTAGAACAGTACGCCCTCCATACGTAGGAGGGCGCTCCGGCTATAAAAGGGGAGCTCCTCCGGCAAGGAAGTCATTTCAGGAAACAGCTGGTTTTAAGTATATCACTACGTGTTACCAGCCCGTGTCCTTTGGCTGCGTTTTTTTTGGGTGATCGGCTCTGCTCCAACTGTGGTATGTACCTGGATGGCTACTCTGTTTAGCAGTAGAGTTACTGTGTCTCAAACCGTGTTGTGCACTCTGCAGCTTGGGCAATTAATCAGTGTTGGGTGTGACATCATCGCTTGCCTTTGCTATACAAAACATTAGCAAACGGTACGTACCTTCTGCAGGTAGATAACCTATGAGTCAAACAATCTTAACATCAGCTCTTTGTAAAACCAGGGAAAGATTGAATCCCCGTTGCTGCTGGGCAGGGAGTTCCCTTCTACTCAGGGGTCATCGGTGAGAGGACCGGTAGGTGTGTGCTGCGCCGTCTCCACACTTGGTCAGTTGTTAGTTTGTTAACTTCTACCTCTTCCTTGTCCTTTTAGATTTATCCGTGGTCCAGTGGGAGGCGCCGCTGTTTTGTTTCGTTTCCTTTTTCTACATTTCAAATCAGCTGTTTGAAGGATGTTCCCTGGCTCGTGGCCGGAGTTCAGAAGGAGGAACAGCTGATTTATATTGTGCCCATTTTATGCCGTTTTTGATCTTTTTTTTGTTTCTTTGTGCAGGCTGGGGCAGGAGGTGTGGGGTGTGGCCTCGGAGGTGGTGGTCCCGTGTGCGTGTGGTGGTGCTGGTTTCCTCACGTTGATATGAATGATCACTGCCAGGGGTGAATTCTTTATACGTTCTTCATTATTTTTCTTGTGTTGGGGCTTCTCTGCCCGCGTTACCTGCCTCCATCACTAGCCTCAGTCCTGCTTGTTAACCTCTTTATTTATTTAAATTTGTAGTTGAATTGTGTTTAGTTAATTCCCATTTTGTTTTGGGACCTCATGAATTGATTTCAGTGAGTAAAATTAATTTGGTTCTCCATACATTTCAGTGGTTCAGTTCCTGTTGGGGCATTAATTTTAGTATTTTATGGTATTTTACATGGCCAGTTTTTAAAGTGTCTTTTAAATTGTCTCTTCTATAAAATAAAACACACTTATTGTAACTTCTGAAACCACGTCTACTGTCCAGTGAACTGAATCTATATGTTTAATTCCTTGGGTGAAATTCCCAAGGTGGCGTTGTTAATAAAATCACACTCGAGCAGGTACAATTGCCATCCTTGGCGTCAACAGGTCATAGACCACTCTCGTATTGCCACATTTGGCGTTGTTGGCAGGATTCACGAGAGATAGACGTGTGTTTTTCAGAATTTTTTTTTTTTTGTTCGTTTGTTTTTTTTTGTATCTGTATTAATTTTGTCCTTCATTTACAGGTTGCGAAACGAAACAGCGGTGCTTTCCGGAAAAACGGCATAGGAGTTTGTTTTTATTATTTTTTTTAGTGGGCAAGGTAAGAGGTTATCATGGAGGAGGAAGAGCTGCGGCAGTTGAAGAATGTAATTCTACAACTGAAAGCAGAAAACGAGAGGTTAAAATAAGAGCAAATGGCGATTTATGGTCCTAGTGGCCACTCTTCTGCAGCTTCACCTTCTACTTCTGTGCTACAGAGGGAAAGATTGGTTGTGGTCCCCCGAGAAAGAAAATGTCCTTCCTTTAGGGGGCGGACAGGGATTAGTTTGGCTGAGTGGCTGGAGGAGGTTGAGGCTTGCACGCGGTCTCGGCAGCTCACTGATTTGGAACAGGCTTTGTTCCTGTTCGATCATCTGGAGGGAGAAGCCAGGGAAGAAATTAGGTTTCGCCCTAGAGGGGAGAGGGAGGATCCTGCCCGGGTGATTGCAGCGTTAAGGGAGCTTTATGGCTGTGTTGACTCATATGTAGCCCTGCAGAAAGCGTTCTTTTCTCGGCACCAGCAGGAGGGGGAAACCTTGCAAGAGTTTTCCCTCGCCCTGATGAGTTTAATGGCTGCTGTTAAACAGCAAGCCCCCACTGACATGCCCAATGCTGAAGAGTTGCTTCGCGACCAGTTTGTAGAGCACGTAAGTGACGGTGCCTTGCGCCGTGAGTTGAAACAGTTTGTGCGTCGCAATTTAACAGCTACCCTGTTGGAGGTTAGAGCCGAAGCCATTAGGTGGGAACGGGAGGGTTCCTCGGGAGGAGCTAGAGGCCGAAGTTATTCTGTCCCTTCAGTTTTTGGGTTGCAGTATGGGGTCCAATGTCCCCAGACCACAGCAGCCTCCCCCATGCGGTCGGAGTTGACTGAAATGAGGGAAATGTTGAAGCTACAGCAGGAACAGTTAAATAAACTTACGGAGGGTCTCTTAGCGCTCCAAGGTCCGAGGTGGAGTAATCCTGCTGGTCGTAGCCCCCTAATTTGCAGACGTTGTCGACAGCCAGGCCATTTCGCTAAAGACTGTGATGGGGTCCGGGTTCCTTCTCAGTCCACGGCACACTCTCAGCAGTCTGGGAGGCAGGGTGGACGGGTGGCACCGTCGGAAAACTAACACCCGCCGAGCTGTGGAGCCAAAGTTCGGGGGGTGCCAAGCCTGGCTCAGATGGAGAGTCTACTGCCGTGGAAGTGGCGAAATTGATGTCGTCTTGTCCGTACGTGGATGTAACAATGGGGGGAGTGCAGGTTCCGTGCTTGTTGGACACGGGGTCAATGGTGTCAACTATTTCGGAAAGTTTTTTTTTACCAGCACTTCGAACCCTGGGGTGCAGACAAACTGCAATCTTGCCACTGGTTGCGGCTTAAGGCTGCCAACGGGTTGGCCATCCCATACATTGGTTATTTAGAACTGGAGGTTGAACTTTGTGGTAAAGTGTTGACTCAGTGTGGTGTCCTGGTGGTCAAAGACACCCCTGAAGGTGGACTCTTGTCGCGTCCGGGTGTTCTGGGGATGAATGTGATTAGCAGGTGTTACAGGGATCTGTTTGGGGAACACGGGCGGACCCTATTTGAACAGTCACCATTGTCACAAGCCCCAGAGCCAGTGAGGTTAGCGCTGCAGAAGTGCCACCAAGCCAGTAGGAGGGTTGCTGGGGGAGTGCCTGGTACCATCAAGGTCGGGGGTCGTCAGGCGTGCCAAATTCCGGCTGGCACAATGAAAGTGGTGGCTACTACCTGTGCCGATCGGTTCTCAGGTAAGAGCGTACTGTTCGAACCACCAGTGTTTGGCCTCCCTGCTGGCCTACTTTCCTCGCCAGCCTTGGTACGGGTGGAGAGAGGGGTCACCCATATTATGGTTATTAATGTGGGGAGTACGGGTGTCTTTCTCTACCCTCGGACCAGGGTGGGTACAGTGGTGGAAGTGGGAGTTTCAAGCTTCCCACGCGGCATCACAGAGGTTCCCCTCCATGAGGCGACAGTGGCATCCCAGCTGGGATCTGAGGTAACATCAGATCAGCTTAATGAGCTGGACTTGTCAAACCTTTCTGTAGGTGACCAGGAGACTGTAAGGTCATTGCTGACACGATATGACTCTGTCTTCTCTGCCCATGATGGAGACCTTGGTTGCACTAACTCGGTTGTACATGAAATCCCCCTGCAGGACGATGTTCCCGTCCGTCAGCGGTTCAGGCGAATCCCACCATCTGACTATGAGGCGGTTAAGGACCACATCAACCAGCTGTTGGAAGCACAGGTGATAAGGGAGAGCAGTAGTCCTTACGCATCCCCTATTGTGCTGGCCAGGAAGAAAGATGGAAGCCTGAGGATGTGTGTGGATTACAGGCAGTTAAATGCAAAAACTAGGAAGGATGCTTTTCCCCTTCCTCGCATCGAGGAGTCACTTGATGCACTGACAGGGGCAGGTTGGTTCTCTACGCTTGATTTGGCTAGTGGCTATAATCAGGTGTCAGTAGCAGAAGCAGACAGGCCGAAGACGGCATTCTGCACTCCTTTTGGCCTTTTTGAGTGGAATCGAATGCCATTTGGCCTTTGTAATGCTCCAGGCACATTTCAACGGTTAATGCAGAGGATATTCGGTGATAAGCAGTGTCAATCGTTGCTGATCTACCTGGACGACATCGTGGTTTTCTCCTCTTCAGTGGAGGAACACCTGCGGAGGTTGGAAATGGTGCTGGGCAGATTACAAAGAGAGGGTCTTAAGGTAAAGTTGGCAAAGTGTGCTTTCTTCCAAAAGGAAGTTGGCTACTTGGGCCATGTCATTTCTGGCAGAGGCGTTGCTACAGATCCCAAGAAGGTGCAGGCAGTGGCTGAGTGGCAGACCCCGACCACGACCTCAGAACTTCGCTCGTTCCTAGGGTTCGCCAGTTACTATCGCAGGTTCGTGGAGGGATTTGCCAAGTTGGCGGCACCACTCCACAAACTGGTGGCAGAAACCGGAAAAGGGAAAGGGTTGAGGAAATCCAATCGGGACCTGAGCAGCTATTGGACAGCTGAGTGCCAGACCAGCTTTGAGGCATTAAAAACAAAACTCACCACTGCGCCCGTCCTAGCGTATGCTGATTTTTCACTTCCCTTCATATTGGAGGTGGACGCCAGTCACGGTGGACTAGGCGCCGTGCTCTCACAGGAGCAGGAAGGCAAAGTTAGACCAGTGGCCTATGCCAGCAGAGGGCTTAGACCAAACGAAAGGAACATGGAGAACTACAGTTCCATGAAGTTGGAATTTTTGGCCTTAAAGTGGGCCATGGCCGAAAAATTCCGTGAATATTTGCTGGGCCACAAGTGTATTGTCTTTACTGACAATAATCCATTGAGCCATTTGTCATCGGCTAAGTTGGGGGCTACCGAGCAGCGGTGGATAGCACAGCTGGCAGCCTTCGACTTTGAAATTAAGTATCGGTCAGGAAAAAGTAATGTAAATGCTGATGCTTTGTCACGACTGCATCCGACAGGGGCCCAGGATTTGGGAGCCATGCTTCCAGGGACATCCCTCCCAGAGCCTTTGAAGCAGGTCCTGCAGGGCCAGAGGCCTGAAGCCACCCAGGCTGTGATAACCACATTCCCAGAGCGTACACCTTTGGAAATGGGGGTCATCCAGAAAAACGATCCAGTTATCAAAGATGTCTTAAGCTTTTGGAGAAAGGGGAGGCGCCCTAATAAAGAGGAACGCGAAAAACTCTCCCAGCCAGCCTTAACCCTGTTAAGGCAGTGGAAACGTCTAGTTGACTGTAACGGTGTTCTATTTCGCCAGGTTACCCTCCCAAGGACCACCGAGGATACACTTCAGCTAGTGTTGCCGGAGGCATTGCAGGAGGAGGTGTTAAAGGAGGTTCATCAGAACCACGGTCACCAGGGCGTTGAAAGGACATTGGAGCTGCTTAGGCTCAGGTGTTACTGGCCAGATATGTCCAAGCGCGTATTGGCGTGGTGTCAAAATTGTGAACGATGCCAGGTAGCCAAGGAGGGACCAGCTACAGGTAGTTTCATGGGTCACTTGTTGGCCTCCCGACCAAATGAGATCTTGGCCATGGACTACACTGTGTTAGAACCTGCCTGCGGTGGGTGGGAAAATGTTCTAGTGCTAACGGATGTATTTAGTAAATACACTTTAGCAGTTCCCACCAGCAATCAGCACGCATCTACGGTGGCTCAGGTGTTAGTCACGGAGTGGTTCTCAAAGTTCGGAGTGCCAGCCCGCATCCACTCTGATCAGGGGCGGAACTTTGAGAGCACCATCATCCGTCAGTTGTGTGACCTATATGGCATTGAGAAAACGCGCACTACCCCATACCACCCTGCAGGTAATGGGCAGTGCGAGAGATTTAACAGGACGCTACACAATCTGCTGCGGACGTTACCTGTATCTAGGAAACGAGACTGGAATTCTTGTCTGCCGCAGTTACTGTATTGTTACAACACAACACCTCATCAGGCAACAGGAGAGTCTCCGTTTTTCTTGATGTTTGGACAAGAACCTAGACTCCCAGTGGATTTTCTGCTGGGAAAAGTGGAGGAACCTGTAGGGGGCAGTGTACACCAGTGGATTCAGGAACATCAGAGTAGGCTTAAGGTAGCCTTTGAGGGAGCTAACGAACGCCTAAGGGAAGCTGCTGAACGTAGAAAGAGAAGTCATGACCAACAGGTAAGGGAAGTCGGACTAAAGGAAGGTCAGTTTGTCTTGGTCAGACAGCTGGGCTTCAAGGGGCGTCATAAAATCCAGGACGTATGGGGTTCAGTAGTGTATAAGGTGGTGAGGGCTCCTAGAGGGGAAGGCCCGGTGTATACGGTCGCACCTGTGGACGATGATCAAAAGTGTAAAACTGTTCATCGCTCAATGTTGAAACCAGTGGTATGGACCAGACCACCAGTAGCAGTGGGCTATCCTTCCTCATCGGTGCAGGAGCAAAACATGGAGGAATCTCTGGAGGACGACGACCTGGTGTTAGAAAGGACTGACGTCCATCAGTTGAGTCCTAAGAGGGTTGTTGGGGCCGCAGGACCCCCTGAGCCATCACTGCCCAGAGTGCAACCGGACCAGCAGGAATCTGGTCCTACAGTAGAGCAGCAACCTAGTTTGGGGGGGTCACCGTTGGCACCGGCTGGCGACCTTGTGGTGCAGGCGGTTGCCCCCATTGTGCATCTACGTCGGACACAGCGCTCAACCGCAGGCCAGCACTCGAACATGCACCATCTTCCACGGGCGGTGGGTGATGTTGGGGTACGGGTTGTGGCGCCCCCAGGGTTTAACTTTGCGGCACAAGTTTTTAGACCTTGGAGTGATTAGAGACATTCAGTTTTGTTAATCGTTGGGACAACGATTCCTGTTGGGGGGGTGGAATGTAGCAGTACGAAATACCTGCTCCAAGTTTATTGGTTTAGAACAGTACGCCCTCCATACGTAGGAGGGCGCTCCGGCTATAAAAGGGGAGCTCCTCCGGCAAGGAAGTCATTTCAGGAAACAGCTGGTTTTAAGTATATCACTACGTGTTACCAGCCCGTGTCCTTTGGCTGCGTTTTTTTTGGGTGATCGGCTCTGCTCCAACTGTGGTATGTACCTGGATGGCTACTCTGTTTAGCAGTAGAGTTACTGTGTCTCAAACCGTGTTGTGCACTCTGCAGCTTGGGCAATTAATCAGTGTTGGGTGTGACATCATCGCTTGCCTTTGCTATACAAAACATTAGCAAACGGTACGTACCTTCTGCAGGTAGATAACCTATGAGTCAAACAATCTTAACATCAGCTCTTTGTAAAACCAGGGAAAGATTGAATCCCCGTTGCTGCTGGGCAGGGAGTTCCCTTCTACTCAGGGGTCATCGGTGAGAGGACCGGTAGGTGTGTGCTGCGCCGTCTCCACACTTGGTCAGTTGTTAGTTTGTTAACTTCTACCTCTTCCTTGTCTTTTTAGATTTATCCGTGGTCCAGTGGGAGGCGCCGCTGTTTTGTTTCGTTTCCTTTTTCTACATTTCAAATCAGCTGTTTGAAGGATGTTCCCTGGCTCGTGGCCGGAGTTCAGAAGGAGGAACAGCTGATTTATATTGTGCCCATTTTATGCCGTTTTTGATCTTTTTTTTGTTTCTTTGTGCAGGCTGGGGCAGGAGGTGTGGGGTGTGGCCTCGGAGGTGGTGGTCCCGTGTGCGTGTGGTGGTGCTGGTTTCCTCACGTTGATATGAATGATCACTGCCAGGGGTGAATTCTTTATACGTTCTTCATTATTTTTCTTGTGTTGGGGCTTCTCTGCCCGCGTTACCTGCCTCCATCACTAGCCTCAGTCCTGCTTGTTAACCTCTTTATTTATTTAAATTTGTAGTTGAATTGTGTTTAGTTAATTCCCATTTTGTTTTGGGACCTCATGAATTGATTTCAGTGAGTAAAATTAATTTGGTTCTCCATACATTTCAGTGGTTCAGTTCCTGTTGGGGCATTAATTTTAGTATTTTATGGTATTTTACATGGCCAGTTTTTAAAGTGTCTTTTAAATTGTCTCTTCTATAAAATAAAACACACTTATTGTAACTTCTGAAACCACGTCTACTGTCCAGTGAACTGAATCTATATGTTTAATTCCTTGGGTGAAATTCCCAAGGTGGCGTTGTTAATAAAATCACACTCGAGCAGGTACAATTGCCATCCTTGGCGTCAACAGGTCATAGACCACTCTCGTATTGCCACAATAAAACACATTTTATGGTTTAAAAAGGCTGAATAATGAATTAGAGACACTTTAAAACCAACAGGTTTGGTACCAATGAGCGCTGTCCAAGGTCCTGACCATGCGTCTGTTTGGACTAATAGCTGTCTCTGTGTGAACCTGTCGGGGATTTATCTGTGCCCTGATCACCGCCAGGTCTGAACGAACAGGTGGATTCTCACCTTCAACCTCGTCTTCAGGCAGGGTCACCGGAGCGCTGTACAGGATGTCGGGGATGGTGCACATGCCCCGGTACATCAGCGTGGAGGTGACTGGGTGCATCGGCATGACTGCGATCTTTGGCTTCCACCCTCGTCATAAAGAAACGTCTATAGACAGGATTCCAACTTCGCCCCACGGTCACCGAGGGAACGGAGAGCCGAGTCCGTGGACGGGGGCACAAGGATTCCGCAGCGTGTCGGTCTTAGATCTCCCTCTTCATTCGTGAATGAAGACCAACCCAGAAATGATGTGCAGAAGATTTCTTACCTCATTGCAGCTCAATTTTACGTTTGCAGCACAGATAAAACAAAAAAGCTTGAAAAAGTGCCAAGCGCCGACACGATGCGCAAAAACGCTCCGAATACTTCACCGCCTCCGAAAAGCTCCATCTGAGCTCATTAGTGCGGGTGTTTCCTCCCCTGGTTTAACCCCGCCGGTCGCTGGCACATTCTAGGCTACAAGTAGACTGATGGCGCGTGCTTTCTGCCTCAGAACAGCATCTGCTGTCAGCAGAAATCATGCGTCCACTTGTTGGAATACGTGCGCTCGCTTGACGCACTCCGTCCTTCAGCTCCAGCCAGGTCTCTCTTCACACAGCCGCAGAGATCTGGTTCTGGTAAATGTTGGTGCTAGTCAAGGAAACATTCTGATAAAATAAATGTGTGTTTAAAATATCAGTGCACGTTTAGATCTTCAGGCATTAATTGGTCGCGCAGAGGAGACGCGCTCCTATCCAGATGTTGAGCCTCGAAGTAGGTTAGTGGATTTGGTGAATTAAAGCTCCCCGTGCCAGGCTCCCTCCCCTCTTTTCACTGTCTCAGCTCATGCGCGTACACACACCTCGGTGCTACACACAAGCGCAGACACACTCCTTCTGTCATTTTTGTCTGTATATATTAACTGACCATCCCGGGCGCGCGCGCTCCAATTAGGGATCCACGCTAGAGAATAGGCTTCAAGTGTAGCTGATGAGTAGGAGCTCGTGTTTGGTGCTAATCCTCAGTAAGAAAGTGCAAACACCTCTGCGAGTTTGAACTTTGACGCAAATCCGCTTCAGCGCTGATGTGGTGACAATAAAACAGGCGTGTGAGAGAAAAGAGAACAAAAGAAACGTCTGCAGCTTTCTGTCTCACCTCACCTTCAACTTTAATGTTCTGCTGCTCTCTTTGCGGATATTTACACACAACCGAGAGCGGATTAAACCTTTTGCACAGGCGCTCACAGAGTCACGCGGGAACATTTACTGAGATAAAACATCATTCAGAAGCAGTTTTGTATTTTGAAATTAACAACCAGCCTTCCGGGTTATCCCTTTAGTTGTGTGTCTTCATTTAGCTCAATCCTGGCAGCTTCCAAATTCAGCCAAAGTCCAAAACGCTGAAAGACCTCCAGACAGCCAAGAGACTTTAATCTTTAAACGTGTTTTAAAGTGAAACCTGGCTATCTGGTGAGAGCCTAAAGACTTCTGCAGAGTTCTGATAATTTTAAGTAGGAAAAAAAAGAAAAATTTATCAGCCTTGGGTTCTTTCTAAATGAACTCATCCGTCTCTTCTTTAGCCAGGAGCTAAGAAGCACTTTTCAGGGAGCACCCTAAAGTGTAGCACTTAGTCATTAAAAATTCAAACAGCTCCATGCTCCTCTATTTTGCTCTGAATTGCTGAAAATCTCAGAAGTCTGTTTCAAAGGTTGATGTTTTATAGCCACCGCCTATTGCAAAGATAACGATTCATTTAAATTTATGTTTTAGTGCTTTAATTGTGAAACATGTAAGCAAACACTAACTGCATTCAGCTGCAGACACTTAAGGTTTAATCAACTTTAAGTTATTTTTAACTATCTTCAAGGCTCCAGGATCCCCAGAGATGTTTTCAAACGTGATGAATCTTCCATAATTGTAACTTTACACAAACAACACTATTGTATCTGACATCAGACTTCTACCTCTTCAACAGCATTTGTGCTTTCCTTCTCTACACTTTTGTTTTGTTCAGCTCATGTAATAATAGAATAGAATAGAATAATGCTTTATTAAATCCAATGAGAAAATTAGTTTTAGCAGCTCGACAAAAACAAAAGACAAAAAAAAAAACTCATGAGAGGAAAACAAATAGAAAAATTAATAACCAAAATATTAAAATTCCAACAGAAAAGTTAAACAATTATCTATTTAATGCATTTGTGCAAGAAAGCAAAAAAAATAAAAAAAATTAAAAGGTCAAACATAACACCGATGCCTTGAGTGAGAGTAAAAATGACAAGAGGGGAACAAAAAGGTCATGACAGGTGACAACGAAAGAAAACTCAAAAACATTAACTGAAAGTCTTTTATTTCATTTTATTTAATAAATTAGAGGAAAATACCAAGAAAAGATTGGAGGAAGAACCTGATTAATTAAAAAAATAATCACTTACCATTTGAGTTTACTGGTAACTTATATGTATGTATGTATATATATATATCGTCGTCGTCGTCGTCTTCCTCCGCTTATCCGGGTCCGGGTCGCGGGGGCAGCATCCCAACTAGGGAGCTCCAGGCCGTCCTCTCCCCGGCCTTGTCCACCAGCTCCTCCGGCAGGACCCCAAGGCGTTCCCGGACCAGATTGGAGATGTAACTTCTCCAACGTGTCCTGGGTCGACCCGGGGGCCTTCTGCCGGCAGGACATGCCCGAAACACCTCCCCGGGGAGGCGTCCAGGAGGCATCCTGACCAGATGCCCAAACCACCTCAACTGGCTCCTTTCGATCCGGAGGAGCAGCGGTTCTACTCCGAGTCCCTCCCGGATGTCCGAGCTCCTCACCCTATCTCTAAGGCTGAGCCCGGCCACCCTACGGAGGAAACTCATTTCGGCCGCTTGTATCCGCGATCTCGTTCTTTCGGTCATTACCCAAAGCTCATGACCATAGGTGAGGATTGGGACGTAGATCGACCGGTAAATCGAGAGCCTGGCTTTCTGGCTCAGCTCCCTCTTCCCCACGACAGATCGGCTCAGCGTCCGCATCACTGCAGACGCCGAACCAATCCGCCTGTCGATCTCCCGATCCCTCCTACCCTCACTCGTGAACAAGACCCCGAGATACTTAAACTCCTCCACTTGAGGTAGGACCTCTCCCCCGACCCGGAGGTGGCAAGCCACCCTTTTCCGGTCGAGAACCATGGTCTCAGATTTGGAGGTGCTGATCCTCATCCCAGCCGCTTCACATTCGGCCGCGAACCTACCCAGCAAGAGCTGAAGGTCAGAGCTGGATGAAGCTAGGAGGACCACATCATCCGCAAAAAGCAGAGACGAGATTCTCCTGCCACCAAACTCGACACACTCCACACCACGGCTGCGTCTAGAAATTCTGTCCATAAAAGTGATGAACAGAACCGGTGACAAAGGGCAGCCCTGGCGGAGTCCAACCCTCACTGGGAACAGGTCCGACTTACTACCGGCTATGCGGACCAAACTCACGCTCCTCTGGTAAAGGGACTGAATGGCCCTTAACAGAAAGCCACCCACCCCATACTCCTGGAGCGTCCCCCACAGGGTGCCCCTGGGGACACGGTCATAAGCCTTCTCCAAATCCACAAAGCACATGTGGATTGGTTGGGCAAACTCCCATGCCCCCTCCATCACCCTTGCAAGGGTATAGAGCTGGTCCACAGTTCCACGGCCAGGACGAAAACCACATTGCTCCTCCTCTATCTGAGATTCAACTATCGATCGGACCCTCCTCTCCAGTACCTTGGAGTAGACCTTTCCAGGGAGGCTGAGGAGTGTGATCCCCCTATAGTTGGAACACACCCTCAGGTCACCCTTCTTAAAGATGGGGACCACCACCCCGGTCTGCCACTCCCTAGGAACTGCCCCCGATGACCACGCAATGTTGTAGAGACGTGTCAACCATGACAGCCCTACAACATCCATAGCCTTGAGATACCCAGGACGAACCTCATCCGCCCCCGGGGCTCCGCCGCTGTGTAGTTGTTTGACTACCTCAGCAACTTCTGCCCCCGAGATCGGACAGTCCATCCCCAGGCCTCCCAGCTCTGGTTCCTCCTCGGAATGCGCATTGGTGGGATTGAGGAGCTCCTCAAAGTATTCCTTCCACCGTCCGACTATAGCCTCAGTTGACGTCAGCAGCTCCCCATCCCCACTGTAAACAGTGTGAGCGAGTTGCTGCCTTCCTCTCCTGAGGCGCCGGACAGTTTGCCAGAACCTCTTTGGAGCCGATCGATAGTCTTTCTCCATGGCCTCACCAAACTCCTCCCACGCCCGAGATTTTGCCTCGGCAACTGCCACTGCTGCACCCCGCTTGGCTATCCGGTACCTGTCTGCTGCCTCCGGAGACCCACAGACCAGCCACGCCCTGTAGGCCTCCTTCTTCAGCCTGACGGCTCCCCGAACCTCTGGTGTCCACCAGCGGGTACGGGGGTTGCCACCACGACTGGCACCGGCCACCTTACGACCACAGCTAGCAACAGCCGCCTCGACAATCGCAGAGTGGAACAAGGCCCACTCGGACTCAATGTCCCCCACTGCTCTCGGGACGTGGTCAAAGCTCTGCCGGAGGTGGGAGTTGAAGACCGTCTTGACAGGTTCTTCTGCCAGGCGTTCCCAGCAGACCCTCACTATGCGTTTGGGTCTGCCAGGTCTACGCGGCATGTTCCCTTGCCATCTGATCCAACTCACCACCAGGTGGTGATCAGTTGACAGCTCCGCCCCTCTCTTCACTCGGGTGTCCAAAACATACGGCCGCAGGTCAGATGATACGACTACAAAATCTATCATCGACCTGTGACCTAGGCTGCCCTGGTACCAAGTGTACCGGTGGGCATCCTTATGTTCGAACATGGTGTTCGTTATGGCCAAACTGCGGCTTGCACAGAAGTCCAATAACAAAACACCGCTCGAGTTCTGATCAGGTGGGCCGTTCCTCCCAATCACACCCCTCCAGGTCAAGCTGTCATTGCCCACGTGAGCATTGAAGTCCCCCAGCAGGACAATGGAGTCCCCTGATGGAGCACTATCTAGCACTCGTCCCAGGGACTCCAAAAAGGGTGGGTACTCTGAACTGATATTTGGCCCATAAGCACAAACAACAGTCAGGACCCGTTCCCCGACCCGAAGGCGCAAGGAAGCTACCCTCTTGTCCCCCGGGGTAAACCCCAACACACAGGCAGAGAATCTCGGGGCTAACAAAAAGCCAACCCCAGCCCTCCGCCTCTCACCCGGAGCAACTCCAGCAAAGTAGAGTGTCCAACCCCTCTCCAGGTCTCGGGTTCCAGAGCTAATGCAATGTGTCGAGGTGAGTCCGACTATATCTAGCCGGTACCGCTCAACCTCTGCCACAAGCTCCGGCTCCTTCCCCACCAGCGAGGTGACGTTCCATGTCCCAAAAACTAGTTTTCTTGTCCGGGGATTGGACCGCCAAGGCTCCCGCCTTGGTCTGCCACCCGATTCACATTGCACCGGACCCTTCATGTTCCTCCTGCGGGTGGTGGGTCCACAGTTGGACGAGCCCATGTATCCGGTTCGGGCTGGGCCCGGCCGGGCCCCATGGGCGAAAGCCCGGCCACCAGGCGCTCGCTCACGGGCCCCAACCCCAGGCCTGGCTCCAGGGTGGGACCCCGGTAACCCTCCGGGCCGGGTACTCCGACTATATATATATATATATATATATATATAAGTACCTGAACACCTATAGTTTATGTTTATTTATTTGGCAGATGCTTTAATCCAAAGTGACGTACAATTGTTTACCTATAGGGCATGTTGTGATCTGTGGGGGAAACCGGAGTACCCGGAGGATTTCCACGCGTGCGTGGGGGGAACATGCAACTCCACGCAGAAACGCCGCAGCCGAGTTTAGAACCTGCAA